GAATTAAATTGGGAGCCAGTGAACAGCAGGAAGTAAGTAAGTAGGGCAGATCCCAGTCCACCTGTGCATGCAACATCTACATCCACTTCTAGGAAACTTTTCAACCCTCACCTGTTCTGTTCAAGTGAACAATTGCTGTATTTTGCAGCATAGTGTTCCTCTGACCCTGGACAGCCATGCTTGCACCAGGAGAAGGTTTGGTTCTGAGGCTATATAATTTCATTTGACTTATATATCAGGAAAACAGGTTCAGGACGCATGACTGTGTGTAGTCATAGTAGTTAACACTCCTGCCTCTCCCTAGTCCTTGCCTATATGAGAGAACATGTATATATATATATATTCTCTCCTATATATGAGAGAACAGTTATTCAGGTACAGTAAAAACTGCAGCTGCATGTATGCTACTGATAACACTTCCTTTTTGTTGGAAAGGAAGGAAAAACTCCCTGCATAGAGTTTTATGGGAAAAAAAGCTAATTTAGATATTTGAAGTAGTGAATGCCTTGTAATTTCTAAGGACAGTCATTTGATGTTTTAAACCTTTGTGCTAACAGAAAACTTGATGAGATGATGACTTGCTACAATAACCTTTTGGAGTCAAAATCATGGCTTTAATTATAGCTTGGCTCATGTGCAAACACCTTTACTACCTTCTAGACTCTGACAAGCATTTGTCCATGTTATCAGTTAGCTATCAGGTTTGGCACAACTGACTGGGTTTGATCAAGAGGCATTTGAGTAATACCAGAAATGTTTAGAGAAGAGGATTAAGGGACATTAGCAAGACTGTGTGGGAAGTCCCTACTCTGCTTTACTGCAATGGTTTAGTTTTCTTTTCATCATCTCTTTTGTTTCTAAAGGTGGGGGGTCAGAAATCTGCCACTCTTGCCTTGGCTGGCTTTGATTAGCACTTCTCTGGTGGAAGTCAAAGGAGTAGACAGACTGCAGCAATCTTGACACAACTTCACTGAACTGAAAATTTCAGGGCTACATTAACTTCCTGTTCTGTACAAAAAAAAAGTGGATACATTTTGTTTCACAAGAAAGGAGCTGGGAAAAGGGAAAAAACCACCCCATAATTTCACCTTGCCCAAATCTCTTGGCAGGGTAATACTGAGAATGAAACAAGGGTAATGGGGACAGGTCACTCCAGTGCCAGATCATATTTTGCTGAAACAATCACATTACATTCGTCAAGGAATTGGCAACACTTTCTGGATATTCCCCTGGTTTGCAGTAGTGAAGCTTTGAAAGAATCAGGTTTGAGGCATGGGTAGAAAAGAAAGCAAAAAGGTAACTTGTGATATAACCAGACTTGCGCTTTTCACCTCAAATGTCATGAGCATGTTTGAAAACTGGAGGGAAACCCCATAGCCTTCAGGCGTCCCAGTAATCACTGGACTGTGCCTTGCTCCCACCCCCAAGTGAAGAAAATACATCTCTGACAATCTAGAGCAATAGGGCACAGGGTTAGCAGTGGTGCTGTGAGCTATTCATTTCTGTAGTCATGCCCTCATTTTGGAGCTGGTGCCACCTTCCATAAGAGGGGAGGACTGTTATGCTTACAAGAGTTATTTTCATCTTTTCTGACTTCCTGTGTTCCAGCCTGTGTTCCTTTCTAGTGCTAATGGTAAACTGGGTAAGACCTGGCCCTTAGTCTGCTTCCTCCCACTGAGGTGTATGGATTGGTTTTGCCTTGTAAGGTCCATCTAGCTATGAAGAGAAAAGGGCAGGTGGTAGGCTTCTAGCAAGTTTAAGGTTCCTAGTTTTGTTTTTTAAAAAGAGAAACCCCTCACACACTGTGCTCCACAGTAAGAGAGAGACTGTGATGAACTCAAGAGCAGGATACACAGAGATTTGAGTGGATAGATTCCTGCTCACATAGTGGCCCTAAACTCAAAACCTTCTGGTATGCTAAGCTACATCGCAGTTGTAGTTCATGCAGGTTTTATATGAATATTTTCTGGGTTATTGTTTAATCTCTGTATGTATTCAAAAATAAAATTCTATTTTTTCCTTTCCCTCTTTCTCTTACCAAGCAAATATAATTAGGAATATAGGCCTAATCCTGCTATTTGAAGTCAGGGACAGCAGAATTTGGGACTTGATAGAATAAGCACAGCTGATGAATCTGCATGTGAATGCAGTTTTGTTCTGTGGTGGGTTTTTTTCCAGTCTGCTTTATGTTACTTAATGATGATAAATGTCCCTTAAAGTCAGAGGCTTTTCCAATTTGATGTTAAAAGGAACTTCTCTGATATTTTTGCTTTTATGAAGAAGCTGTATTTTACAGATGTGGCCATTGTAAATTCCAGCTGGTACCTATGAATATTTATTTTTCTACCCATACACATAACTGGTCTTCTGTGTGCAGTAAATATGCATCTACATGTAAAGACATTAATTTTTTAAATTGTTCAAGATGCACTGTGCAAGCTAAGTAGCTTCCAAGCTCAGTGAAATTGACTGTAGATGAAACAGCTTGCAGGCATTCATACAGCTTCCTCAGCAGGGTTCCCAGTAACACTCAGTTCCTTTGTTTAATTGTTTTAAAATTAATTTTGATGGTGAGAACAATTATATAAAGGCCACTTGCTATAGAGAAAACCTTAATAAAACACTATTTATAGAACTTTTACATCAGGAAGCTGAGTAGGTTAAAGTAGAATTATGAAAGATGCTTATTTTTAACAATGCTGTTCAGTCACCACTGGAAGTTTGTTATTTGGACTCCATGTGTAAAGTAACAAACTATGAAGTTCAGGTGCTCATCAAATGGTATTAATAGCCATTTTAGTAATGGTGATTTTACAGCACTCCTACTGTTCCCCTCAGGCTCCCTTTCCAGCCTAAAGCTTAGAACTGTTGTGGTCTCTGTGTTAGTAGAGACAAAAGTAATTTGACTGATTTGTGTCTACTCACTATGGAAGGACATCTTGCTAATTTTTAGACATGAATACTTTTATCAGACTTCATACTTTCATTGTCGAAGGATGCTGTTAATTACACTACATCTTGAAAGGTGTGAACATAAGTGCTGAGTGTGGAATTGTAAAGAACCCCAGTGAAAAGTAATTGTGATTTTCTACAGGTTTGGTTGAAGTTCCTATTTAAAAGAGTGTGTATGCAAGCAACTGCAAAGCTATCACTCTGCTAATATTGGCCGGACATAAGGGATTCATGTTTTATAGATGGAAACAGGATTGCTAAAGATTGATATATTTCATTGCAGATGTGACGAATATGTCACACAGCTGGATGAAATGCAGCGGCAGCTTGCAGCAGCTGAGGATGAGAAGAAGACTCTGAACTCCTTGCTTCGGATGGCTATCCAGCAGAAACTGGCACTGACCCAGCGCCTGGAACATTTGGAGCTAGACCATGAGCAGTCCAAAAGGGTGCGCACAAAATCTGCTTCCAAAGCCAAGAGCAGTAACCCTACTGTAAGTCATATTCGGTCCTGCGGAGACAGGTCTGAAGGATCTGTGCTTAACAACCAGGTTTTTTGTAGTGAGAAATATAAAATCTATTGTGACTAGGACAGGTGTACAGAAAAATCATATTATGCATCTTATTTTATGCTGTAACTGTCAGCGTAAATCCCCACTATCTAATGTCTCAGTGAGTTGACTTGTACTAGTATGTTGTTGAACCAGGTAATACAAATTGTATTATGGTGGTCTTAACTGTAACTAATTCATAAGTATGGGGATGCTATTAACAAGTTAATAGTGGAAAGGAATTAGCTTTTTCCACAATTAACATGTATGGCTTTTGCTGTTTATGGTAAGTGTTAAAAGAGTACACCTGATATAGTATATCTGGTGCTACCAATTGTAGTTTGTATAGCACAAATGTGATCCTTTCTCTAGGGTTGCAGCATACTTCAAGAAATGCTTTCACAGGCAGAAACAAACAGAAAACCTTCCTTGTTATTGTGGTTTAAGAAGTGGTGAAAAGCAAATGTTAAAATGAGAGGTATGTCTTGAAAATGCAGAGCATTTTGAAACTGGAGCCAAAATTAATTTGCCTGTTGTGGCAGATATTAAGAACTTGCTGTCATATCACCACTGACCAAAGTCCTAAAGCTTTTATAGGCTGTAAAAGCTAGAAAAAAACCTTGGTAGGGTACATTATTTACAGTCTGCTTACCTCTCTTCAGAGGGTGGACCAGAAGTAACTTGCACATTTATATTAAAAATATGCAATATTTACCCCATCTGATATAAAAATTAAAATTTTAAGAATTGGGATCCTACCTGGTAGACAGTTCCACTTTAAGAAGTTGTGCTGTGGAAAAGTGTCATGTCCTGAAAGGATCTATGTGGTCTCATGTTGCTCCTTGCAAGCATAACACTTTGGAAAGAACCTGTTTTATATATTACTGTAGCCACACAACATATATGTGTAGAATTAATGTGACTATGGTCTAGTACTGTCAGTCACAAAACAGTTTTTCTCAGCTTTCAGTATTAATCTAAATAGGATAGTATTTCAGAGCTCTGAACGTTTTTTTTTAAATACACAAAAGATACTGCATTCCTTATGCAAGCACATGTTTCACAGGGTTCTACATTATAGGCACAGGAAGTTGAACCAGATCATCCTGCTAATAATTATTTATGAAGTAGCTTAGTATACATATTAATCTTTAAAAACAAATAAACCTTTGTCTGCTCTTGAACTTTTAAGGGGCCTTTTTAGCCACTTAATTACAATATGTTTGATAATATAAAAGTGTACTTCATAATTGGTGCCTACGTAAGAGAAAAAGATTGAAAATGTTGCTTCTAAAATTGTGGAAAATTTGTGGAGCACAACAAGGCACACCTTTTTTCTTTAAACCAGAGTTTTAAAGTGCCTAGCCTCAAACTTTATTTTAATGTAAAGCCCTGTTCATTTTGTACTCTTTGAAACAATTTTGTATGCCTATAGTATTACTAAAAGCAATGCGGAACTGCACAGTTGTCTGCTTGATAGCGATGTTTTATAAAGCCATTCTAATATTCCTGGTGTGGTATTGCTTCATTTCACTACCATTTCTTATAGATGATCAGCAGATTGCTTCCTGTGCATTGCCGCTCTGCCTATAAGTAGTCAGGAGATATCATAGTACTAATATAAGGTAATAAGGAGCACAGCTTGTTTTCCCAGTGAGGGGAAACCACATGGGATTTTGGCTTCCCAGATATTAGCGGGGGAGAGGAAATTCATACAATGAGACTTTAAACAAATGGAATTGTAGAAACCTTGCTACAAAGCTCTGAAACATCAGAATGCCGCAGTCCAATGCCAGAACTGCATTTACCAATACTGAGAGGAGGAAAAAAAACCCAAGTGATTTAAGTCTAACATGTTGCTCAAACATCACTGCTTGAGGAGTTTAAACAAATAGGAATTCTGACTTTAGAAACTAGGCCCTGTGCATCCAATATTACTTTATTTAGAAAACACTGAATTCTCCTGAGTTTGAGCTTTAATATTGCTAAATAGCAGGTTTGATATTTTAGAAGTGAGACATCTTTTAACAATTTTCAATCCTGCTTTTCTCTTTGCTGCACAATCTTCCAAAAGGCCTTTATTCTTCTCATTTCTGCATTAAGTGTAATTTAAAAATACTTTGTAAAAGTAGACATTTGAGTGCTAGCTCTCTTTGCTCCAACAGAAACAGTTACAATTTTGCTTCCACTACGGTGGGGAGCTTTAATACAGTTTTCACTGCTTCCATGTCTCTAATGGCAGTATTTTTACAAAATACTAATGGCAAAAAGGTAAACTGGAGAAACTAATTGAATGCATTGTTAGGTTTTTTTTCAAATTAACTGGAACTTTCTATAAAGATTTCAGTGTTACCAGACAGTGACTATTACTATCAGTCTTGGCTCACACTTTCAGTTCAAAGCATGAACAATTTTTCTATTAGCCCAGTAGTCTTAGTAGTCATTTCCATCTTCATTCATTTCTGCGGATCTTTAAAAAACAAAAAAGCCAAGAAACCTGACTGCTATTTGAGCTTGTCAAGGTTACGGTTTAACTTCTTGTAGCACCTGTTACAAAAAGAAATGAGGAATGGTGGTAAGGTGACTTGATCCTGCTGTTTGTATTTTTAGAGAATATATAAGATTGAGTCTTGTAATTCTTGATTAACAATTTCTTGAAACGTACATTTGCTGTAAGTCTTTCATATCACTTTCAATGGGTTGGGATAAAGCATGGAAAATTTCTTAAGCCGTCACCTACCTCTGCAAGCAGACTCTTCTGAATGATATTCTCTGCATTGGCCTGCATGATATACTGACTTGCATGTTTCTGGAGAACCTAAAGCTTCACTGAAAATGTTTCTTGCACATTCATTGCTGTTAACTCGTGCTTGAACAGCAAAGCTTTATTCAGTACTTGTAAGAAACCTTCTTTCTGCAAAGCTATTGCTTCCAGGCTAAACCCATAAAGCATTGTTTTATCGGCTTGGAAAGCATCTGCGAGCTAAAATGGCTGCTTCTACCCCAGTAAGCTAACAGACACCCTCAACCAACTAACCTGCTTTTGCAGCATATTGTCTTAAGTTTTCAGTTCTTTAATTGAGAAATAAACACTGATTTTTTTTTTTTTTTCCTAATGCTATTTTATTTTTTCCATTTTTCAGCTGTAGAATAGTCCTTGGAGAAGGCCTTTCCAACAGTGCAACAGCATTTCTTAGCCTCTTTTATTATGGTTAAAAGTGGTAGCCCATTGCACAAAGAATGGAAACCACTGACCTGATCCTAACTTTTGAAAACACCTTTTTCCCATATACTACCTGAAACTTTCCTTTTATGTCTGAAGCTATAAAACAAACAAGCTTTACCTGTAAGTGCTGCTGCAGTAAGAAAACTTACAAGTGCTGAAGAAACCTACTTCAAATGTAATGATCACCATATTAGTTTATGATCTACTAGAAATGTTCAGATGGGGGAATTTCTTATTTCATTGCAGATGCTCATTTTTTATCTGATTGTTAAACCTGTGCACTTTTGATATTTTGATATTTTTCTTTAGCTTCTTTAATTCTTATGTAGAAGAGTTTATATAAATGCAGTGATTTGTGCTCATAGTCTCTCTTCAATTTGGGCTTGTGATTTTTGAACTCTACATCAGTATGTGGCAGAGATTTTGGGGGGCCTCTAGACTGTGATTAGAAAAGAGTTTCAACAAAAAACAGGAGCTCTGCTAAACTGTGCTGTGCTTCAGCAGCTTTTTTATTATTATAAAATGTTAAGCTTTATATGTTTAAATTACAGATTTTTTTTTTTTTTTAAACTGGCATGTTCATTAAGAAATCCAGGGTATTCAAATTCTGGGGTTTTTTTCATATTGTATTATTATTCTTAGGAATAGTTCAATGTAACAAGAAGAAAACTTGACTTTGCTCTGGTTAAAACAGTAATAGGCACTTAAAAAATATTAAATAAGTAGTATTACCTATAGATTCCAGAATTCCTGGGTTTTAGGAAGTTGAAGTATTATTGATTAACAGAATTTTATACAACTATACCAGTTAAATTCCAAATTGGAATTGTTTTGTTACGTTTTCATTTTATTGTGCCAAATTATGGTACATTTAGAAAGAAAAATTCTAAAGTGGTCAATGATAGGGTGTTGTATATCAGCGCCTTGCTGTCATTAATTATTGCCGGTAGTGCCTTTAATCATTTTAAGGGAGACTCTTAGAATAGCTTAGTCTAAGTCTTGTAACTTAGGAGAAATGGAATGGCTGGTTTGGAATTTAGTAAAGACATGGAGCAATAAGTGCAAAGTGAACTCCCCTTTCGCACGTTTTTAATGGGTAGTCTTACTATAGAGATTATATATTCAAGGAATTGTAAAAAATTCTGTTAGTCAATGATATTCCATCATGCAAATCCTTGCAAATTCAGGGGTATAGAGAAAAAAAACCAACAAGCATAAACAAACCCGAATACACTTTGGGAACCAAATGGACTTATGTTGAACAAATGAGCAAGATATATTAACACATTTGTGGTAACAGTACAGAGGATGTATCAGGAATATTGATGTTATGTTAGCTTTGTATGGTGGTGGATGCAGTTAACCATAGTATTGTTTGCAAATGTGAACAATGAAACATTGATATTTTCTCTTGCATGTTGTATCTAATCATTGTAATTTCAGAAAACAGAAACAGAGAAGTGCATCAACAAGCTGTACCTATCTCTACTGTTTGTTGAGGCTCAGATGAATGATTAAATTGGTACTTGTTGGAGGGGAGCCTTCCCACTCCTCAAAAAAAGTACAAATTGAAATAATATTGACAGTGGGGAAAAGATTTCTGTTTTCTGGAAAAAAGCATTATTATTCCTAGATGTGGGGACTTATATTTCCATCTTCTGTTACAGTATTGATTCACAAGAAATATTGTTGCATTTAAAATTACTACATTTGTATGTGGGTATTTATTTGAAATGATGTCGAAGTACTGTATTATGTTTTATGTGCATTACCTTTTAGTGGTGGATTGGTCTCCATTTAACGTCATATGCATGTATTCTTGCCAAGTAACCTTTACACAGATCTGGAAAAAAAAAATGTTAAAGAGAAAATGTGGAAACTTCTTAAAAGTATAACTGTGTGTTAATTGGATAACCTTAGGAGGCATAGAGGTCAAAACGTTACTTCCAAATTAATAAAAAAAGTGTTTAATGTAGGAAAGCAATCTGCCTGCGTAAAGGTAGTCACATTGGCAGTATCAATAAAAGAGAAAAGTAATTGCGTTCTGCTTGTTGTGTTTGTGTTTTAAGAAGGTGCGATTTTAGTCAGTCTTCCTGCGCTATTTTCAGTGTGGGGCTAAATATATATTAATTTTTATCTGAGAGAAACTGAAAACTTAGTTTTAAGTTTGCTGCAGAACTAGAAAATTAATTGTTTGTGCTCATATTTGGGGAGCGCCATCCTCTGTGCTGTTTCACGAGACTTTCCTGGATTAGTTTTAGCCTTGATCAGACCAGTTTAATCTGTTTCACTGAATAGCGATGCAAGGACTTGTACCAGTACAGGAAAGGGGAGGGTGGGACTAACACTTTTGGTGGCAGTCGTGACAAGTCTTCCTGAACTTAGATCTTAATTTCTCATGTACTCTCCAAAATGCATTAAGATTATGTTTATCTGGTAGAATTAACAAACTCACCAAAAAACCCTGAAGGAATATGCTTGAAGTCTGAGAGCAAGGCTCATGTTTGCCGCATCAATACAAGGATATTCCTGGATCGATGAACTGATATTGGCCCCTAGAAATATTAAATATGGTTTTATGCTATAGTTGAACAACTCTTATGTCCCCAGGTAGGATTCCTAGAACTATTCTGCTTATCGTTTCTATACCTGGTAGCAGTCAGTTGCATTACACCAGCTAATCAACATGATTTATATTATAACTGGAGAGCAATATGACAGTTTTTACTTAGGCATTGAAAATACTTGGTGAATTGTGTGCAGTAAACTAGCATAGCATATTTGCTAGGACGCTTGCCCTGATTGTACAGTTTTGCATTTGCTGTAATGGGAGCTTTATCTGCAGGGTGATCTAAGGGAGAAACATTTTATAAATATATATGCATGCAAATGACAGAAGAACAAGAACAGACCTGTTGAAATAGTAAAACAGTGTGATTCAAAAATGCTTTAGTAAGAAAATAAGAAAACAAGAGAAGGAGACTATTTAGCTTAAAAGCTTGTCTAGTGAATGGCTATTAATTAAAACATCAATTTCTTTTCTGTGTAGAAAAAATACAGTGCCTGGAGGGAATGTCGCCTATGCTGAGTGAGGAGGTTGGGTCACCAGTTACATTCCAGACTGCAGATGTTGCTGTATTTAGTCTCCAGGAAAGGAATCTGCCAGCTAATATAACACTCCTGCTTGCCATGGATTCAGTAATTCAGTAGTGATCATTTGTTTCTTGCATGTAAGGCTTGAAAAAAAGCTACTAACTTCCCAGAGGAGGAACAGGGCAAATTTTCAGATGTACTTAGATGCCTAAAAATAAAGAAAAGCAGACCTGAAAGTCCCCATGTACCTAGTTTTCCAGTATGAAGGCAAAGAAAATTAAGACGTAGGTGCTTTTTGGACATCCCACTGGATAAGATGGTAAAACTCTGCTACGCAAATATTTATAGAAGTTACAGTTTCAAAAATACCTTCACATTCTTGTGTTTTTTAAAGGCTGATGATGTAGATTGACCTACAGGACCAGGAAAAGGTATTTTTCCACCTAAGGACCTAGCAAAAACAATGAAAAACTATAAAGATCACTTCTGTGAGCTCAAAAAAAAAGCAAAGCAGCTAGTTAATATGATTATTTCGAGTATTATATTGAATGTTTCTATAGAAAAGCTTCAAGCAAACATTCATCAGTGGTTGCTGGGAAAAACACTCATGCACAAACTACTCAAAAGATTACTTCATCCTATTCCTTTCTTTTCTTTCAAGAGAGCTGCTGTCCTTTCCCAGTAAAGGAGGGGGGTTGCTGCTTCTCAGTGCAAAGGCAAATTTCCACAAGAAGGAGCTATCACAGCTACAGAGTGAACTTTTTTTTTCCCTTGTATACTGAGCATGGTATCTCCAAGGTAATCTGAGACTTGACTTGTGCATTGAATCTGCATCAGCCAGCCTTACCTTATCCAATGCCATGACTTTGGGACATACTGCTCTTAACTAAGTCATCAGATTTGATAATTATCAAGTGAAGTGGTTGTAAAATGTCTTATATCCAGTAACTGTGTTTAAAAAAAAAAAAGCCAACAAACAAGCTGGATCTGGTTCTACATATTAAAGTAGACTATTTCTGAAGTAAAGATAATATAGCAAGAGGGAACGGTGTAATGAAAGCTGATTTTTGTGATTATGCTGGAGAAAACCTGAGAGAAAGTTTAAAATTTATTTAAAACCTGGTATCTACTGATATTTAATTAGGACAATATATGTAACGTACTACTTACTGATTAAGGCTACATACATAAGCAAAGCTTGAGTTAGCTACATATAAATGAAGTGTATTTAAGCTAGGCTGAAATGAGTTATAAGTATGCACACCCAGATTTCCACCAGCTTAGCAAGTAAGAGTCAAAGTTGGTTAACTGAGCTGAAAATGACTTTATGGGCAGAACCCACAAATACTATGGCTTTTTACCGAACCAAATATCAGGTTAGAACACTCTGCAAAGGCCAAAAATGTACCTGGCCAATTCTCTTTGTTGCAAGAATTCTGAACAACTTTATATTTTTAAAATAGCTCTGTGATTTTACTTTTAAAAATGTCAGCAAGTGGACATTTAAGTTGTGAATGTTCTATGCTAAAATACTGTAACATGCTTAACAGGCAGGAGAAACTTTAAAACTGGTGATTTAGTTTATAGTTTTAAAGAAATCATATGTAGTAGAAGAGCAGAATTTTTTAAAATACTTGCTAGCGCTTGCGTAATCTATTATTCTCAATAACAGTATTTTTTATCTTTTTTGAAACTGATTATTATTTCTGCTTTTCAAACAGTAATGTATTTGAGGAATTACAAATCTCCATGTTTAAGGAGAGCAGGAAAAACAACTGTTCATTTTAGTATATGCTGCTTCGTATTGCTTGACGTTAAAAAGACAGTTCTCCTTTATCTTCTCCTTGAAACCTTGCTCCCTATTTTTTTACACAGAAATTTTAGGTTAAAACAGTGTCCCAATGTTCAGGCACATGCTAACTCAGACCTAAGGAAAATACTCAATTCCATAATCACAAACATTTTTCCCTTAATTTCTGGTGATGAGACTGTTCCTAACTAGGACAGTTTGTATCCTTATTCCAAATTATACTGAGTAAACATGAGGCAGCTTCTACTAATCTCAAATGTTACTTAGTTTATTTTCCTGTATGGCTTCTACCCTGGAATTCAAACTAATACAGCTCAAGGTTTTATCAAGGCATAAAGAGTAAAGCGTTTGATCCAGCAGTAGAACATAAGCTTTCTGTTATTGCCAAATGAACAACGAGCCTTTATTAAGCCAGTCAAAGTCTTAGATACCAAGCATTAATATCTCTCCATTTAGAAGACCAACATTTCTGTCAGGGAGAAGACTGTTGAGCCTACGCTATTGACAGCTTGGGGAGGAGGTTTTTAAAGTGTGGTCTTACCTGGACGTAAAGAATAGCCTGAACTTGTGCCTTACTAAGATGGGGAAAGGATAAATTCTTTTTAGCTAGTAGTCATGTGGTTATTTAGTAACAGCTCTTAAAAATAAGATTTAGTT